TAAAAAACAAAAACACAATTGCAATTGAAAACCACAACAAATTAAAGTAAAATTGTGAACCAACCTTGTTGTTCCATCGAAGATAGAAGGTGGGTCTGAAGTAGAATCAAGAGCAGGTGGAAGAAACTCGTGCACGCTTTGAGAGAGAGAGAAAGAGTAAAGTATTAAGCTCAAATCCACATCAAAGTAAAACTACAAAACGAAGTCTACACACTGTTTGTTTTCCGAGAAAATAAACTAATCCTGTATTCAATTTTCTTATTTTGGTCTCAAGTGAGTAAAAACGAAAGGTTCACCCAACCCATGTCAGGTATCCGTGTAATTCAATGCCTTTTCTTCTTAATTCATTTTCTAGAGAAACAAACGGAAAATAAAATAGAAATTTCTTCCATACCCGGTAGCCATAATCGTGGGTGATGCTTTTGCTCTGGCTTTAGCGAAGCAAATACGAAGGGGTGTGTGGAAACAGTGATAGGATGGAGGGTGAGGTGAGAGAAGGGTGGTGTTTGGGAATGGGAGAGTGGTGGTGGTGTTGTTGAGTGAGAGATGATAGAGAGAGAAAGGAGTGGAAAGAGCTTCTCTGGAAGACGTCAGGCGTGACGAAGCTGGTGTAGTGCAATGGTAGCTTATATTCAGAGCGGCCATTTGTGGTCTATGATTTGGATTGACAGTTTCTTATAGATTCTGTCAAATCATAACCAACACAAAACATGAACCTAACGATCAGCCTGTCCTGTAATTGTTAGGTGGAGAATATAATCGTTATTTCGAAAATGTTAATAAAAAGAAAATTACATTTTTTTAAGTAAAGTTATTACAATGCATTATATTCCCAAAATAAATAAGACAAATTACAGTCACACTCTTTTCTAATTTTCTCTAATTATAATAAAACGACAAAATGGGCTTAATTTTTTGACACCGCCCTACCCACATAAAAAAAACAGAGATTTAGTAACCCTCCAATTTGACCCACAAATCACTATTTATTTAAGAAAATAAAAGAAGTCATATACTACTTTTGTTTTCATAGAGAAAAAAGTATTCATACACTCCTCTCAAAGTCGGCCTTTTGGAATGGTGATGAGAGACGAAAATTTCAAAAAATACTTATAGTCATGTTTGGTATGAGGTGAAATTTCATCACCAGAGTAATTCACCTATTATACTAAATTAAAAATATATATACGAGGGAGGGAGAATTTTGATAGGTTGAGAAGAAATTACTAAACTACAACTTTAATATATGTTGTATAAATGTATTATTAAAATAAATTAACATGGCTTTGTATTCTCAGTGGAGACTAGTCATAGCATCTGCAAAAATTTGCTGCATTCCCTTCACGTATTTCATACCATACACGCATAATAGTCATTTTAACAAATATAAAATACATAAAAATTAAAAATTTGAGAGTTGAGATTGAGCTCGAACTGAACTCACAATTTAAAGAGTTGAGATAGTTGTTTTCAAATTCGTTTGTACTCAATTTGATTAAAAATAAAAGCTTAAAAAATAAAAATAAAATAACACCAATGTAAATAAAAGAAGTTTTTTTTTTTTTTTTTTTTAAACCGAAGGCAAACCGACACAAAAAAAATAATTCAAACTCTCTCAAAAATGTCAATCAGATTATGAAATATTTTCAAGTTAGAAGGAAAATTGACATTCCAAATAACTTGATCTCTGATTTGCGATATATATATTAAGTAGCAGCAAATTAAAATATACTCATTTTTTTTTTTTTGAAAGGTGGGTCACCCATATTATGCGTGGATTCTGGAATAAATATATGTTTAGCCCGCTCTCAGTAGAGAGAGAGACAAGGGAGCAAGGAGGATGAATTTTTGTCTATTTTCACAACCAAACAGCCCTCTTCCAATTATAAGGTCAAACTCAAACTCAACAAATTTTCCTTTTAAGTTCGTGCCCATACGTGCCGTTGCCAGCGAGTTAGTCATGGCCAACTCAGTCCGAGTCTCCGTCGCCAAAATGACATCCGTCAACGACCTATTCGGCATCCGAAGATGGTCGATTCCGATTGGATAGCAACATATTCAGTAAACACTCTCAATGCCACTGTCCATAGTGCTCAGCATTGCCTCAGCACACATAGTTTGACAAATTTATCCCCAGTACAGACCTTACTCAAAACAGATCGAATACAATAGAAACTTATATCATCACAAACACTCGAATTGGGCCCTCTAAATTTTCATCAAAAAAACATATCTAAACAGCAACCTCTTCATTGAAATCAATGATTCAAGATTATCGAGAAAAACAAGCAGATCAAAGGACACAAATACAACTTTCGATCATCGATCCAAAATTAATAATGGACGATTGCGGAGTACCGATCGATGTGATAAAAGCACATCAAAGTGTTCATCTGCAAATATAGCAATTGAATTGATTCAAGATTGGTAGATCAAAGCGAGAGAGAAAAGAAAAGAAAAAAAAACCTACAAAAAATAAATTAATTAATTAACGCAATTGTTGTGTGAAAATGAGATTTGTGAGGGACGCGTGGAGGCATTGGAGTTGAGATTGGTGCTCGCAGTAGAGTAGTACCTCTTGTGTTCGAAACCGATGAGAGGATGGTTCAACGTTGCGACTTTGGCTTTCATTTCCGGAGTGGATTGGGATTGAGATCGTCGAGTCGATGGATTTGAAATTTTTGAAGAAGATCTTTGAAATTCCCTTGATTTTCTGCAACAGAATTGAATTGGGGTGTACCAGCGAGTGAGCTCTGGCTTCTGGTTAGACTGACTCACTCTTCTTGTTCTCTAACCACTACTACTACTCTAGTACTACTTGTTAGAGAGAGAGAGAGTGGGGCACATCACAAGCAAAAGGTGATTTTATCGTCGCTACGTGTGCTGCTGATTTCTTAACACGGAATTCGAGTGGAGAGAGAAAGAGGAGAGAGAGCGAAAGAGGGGGAAGGATGGCGTTATTTACTGGAGAGGAATTTAAGTACAGTACATGCGCTCGAATTCAGGTGTCGGTGACACCACAGTGTATGGGTTTGAAATTTGGATCTTATCCGGTCCAAACTCATGTTAAGTACGGCCTCTCTCCTTCAAGTATGTTCCTTTTCTAGACTTAACATTTTAAGACATGATTTTTTAACAATTTTTTTTTTTATTTTATAATTTTGGTAATAAATAAATTACCAAATTAACTTACGATCATATTTTAATTTAATTATTTTTATAAGTTTAATGTAAAAAGGTAAAATTAAAAATATCATACGGTTTCTCTCCATCAATAATGTTCTTTTTTCGCTTAAAATTTTATTCCATTTTAAATGATGTTTAAAGTTTTTAATTATATTTAAATTGCGTTATCAAATAGTAAGGGTGACAAACGGCCGAGTTGAGTCAGGTTTGAATAGTAATTCATATTCGACTTGTTTATAACTGATTAAATATAGGGTGGGTTAAAATGAATCGGGTCAACCAATGATGACCCACAACCGTTTTAAAAAATAATATTTTTAAAAATTATTTTGAATAATCTTTTTATTATAGTTTTTTATTTATTTTAAATGAATAAAAATTTATAAAAATATGTATGAATAATTAAAATTTCTTAAATTATATGAAATAATTTGTTAAGCTTTTTATAAAATAAATAAATAATTATATGACCATTTTGCCACCCCATACTTTCATCTTAAGTAATTGTATAGGTTTTAGAGCAAATCAGCGGCGCTATCTTCATAATTTTTTTCCTTTTGGAACGTAGATCATTGTTATTTTTTATTCTCTATTTGTGGTATACATTCCTAAATTATTCTCAATCTGGATCTTGAATGGTCAACTTTTTAATGGAGGTTAGCCACCCCAACTACTCCATTGTTATCCAATAAAAGCACCCAAATCATGGCGTACAGAGAATTCGTTAAGCAAAAAGGTGAAGCACTTTGTCTCATTATTAAAAAATCATTGTTGGAATTGACCTGTCACGCATTTGTGCCTAATTTAATTTATTTTTTAAATAAAGCAAATGAGCCCATAATATTGTTCTCAATATAAATCGTACTGTCAAAGTTTTTATCAGTATAACATATTTGATGGTAAGACGAACTTTGAACGTCTGAATGAATCATGACAAATGGTGATTATAATTTAATTACTCGTGGATAGGGGAAGATCATTAAAATAACGTGCTATTTCATAAGATTGAGATAGGCTCTATAGACTAAGATAAGAATTATGACTAAGATAAGAATTACAGATTACGATAAGAATTGCAGAATACGATAAGGATTAGGCCAACAGATTATGATAAGGATTAAGGACGACGTGGACGCTACGTAACATCCTGACCCAAGTCCTATAAATAGAGAGGGCTAATCGACGTTTGGAGGTAAGCAAAAAACCCTAACTCAATATCTCGATTTCTCTAGAGAGATTATCATTCACACTGACTTGTTCGTCGAAGCCTACTCCACCGGTAACACACCGGTGTTTGTAGGATCACTTTTTCTTCTTTTTATTCAGGAAGTCAGATCAGATCCGGGTTACGCAGAATCCATCTTCAACAGTTGGCGCCGTCTGCGGGAACGATTTTAGTTCTCTAAATAAAGTATGGTTTGATTGCGATCTGGTCTGGTTGCTGGCGAATACGAAGCGTTGCAAACTCCTGATCAAAGGGACTCACGAGGCAACCCCCCGCCGTCCCAAACGATCAGGAATGCGTCACAGCGTTGGAACAATAGGTTTAAACCTTAAATAAGGGAATGAACCAATTATTCCAGAAAAATTCAATGATTCTACGACGCTTAGCCGACCTTAATGAGGTGGAGAATAATGAAGTACCCAATAATGACTCCCGTAGGATTGACAACGACGCTGAGCTTAGTCAAATAGGGGGTCAATAGAGAAGCCATCACCATCGGTCTCTTGAACGGAATAATACCAGGCTCCGTGCAGGTACCTCTGGTTGTGTTGGTGACAAGACTGAAGACGTCACTTATTTCAATCTGTAGATGCAAGATCTGAGAACTAGGGTCAAAGACGTCATGCAAGCAATGAAATGGAAGGGCCAGGCCACAGTGAACGATCTGGTACAGAAGACCAACCTAGCATTTAGCCTCGCTATTATGTTATGAGTTGTCCTCTACCTAGCAAATTTAAGATGCCAACTCTTGAGAGCTTCGATGGGACGCGGGACCCTCTCGATCATTTAGAGACCTACAAAGCTCTTATGTATTTGCAATTCGTACCGGATGAGATTATGTGCAGGGTTTTCCCTACCACACTAAAGGGTTGGGCTCGTCTTTGGTTCAATAAATTAAAGCCAGGCTCCATTGAAATCTTTAATGAGTTGAGCAAACAATTCATTGGACACTTCATCGCTGGGCAGAGGCATTGGAGACAGCAACACACTTATTGAATGTGAAACAGCAGAAAGGAAAGCCTCTCCGTGGTTACATAAGTCGTTTTAACGCTGATATGCTGCAGGTAGAAGAGGTGGACAACAAGGTTGCCCTCACAGCCTTTACGGGAGGACTACAGACTTCTAAGTTCCTATTTTCCTTATCAAAAGAAGCCCCTACAAGCATGACAGAGTTGATGGTTAAAGCGTGGAAGCACATGAACGCTGAGGATGCTATGAATGCACGAAAAAACAAAGATGGTGAAGATAAGAGGTCGGAGAAGAAGAGGCCAGCACCTAACACTAGGGAGGAAAAGGAATCGAAGTACAAGAAATTCTCAAACAACCAGGCTGACAGATCGTCTCGCCGCCCAGTGAGCCCAGGCAGGTATAATAACTATACCCCCTAAATACATCTGTAGAGCCAGTCTTTCTGCAGATTCAAGATGACGCATCATTGAAATGGCCGCCAAAGCTAAAAGCTGATCCAATAAAGAGGTCTCTAGGTAAATACTATAGGTTTCACCGGGACCATGGACATAACACAGAAGATTGTTTTGACCTCAAAAACCAGATCGAGAACCTTGTTCGTAAAGGTCATTTACGTAAATTCACAACTAGAAATGGAAAAGGAGGCTCCAACCCAGCCCGGGAGGGCCGAGATGATCGCCCTCCTCAACACCAACCAATGGGTGAGATCAAAGTTATATCGGGTGGCTTCGCTGGTGGTGGTGAGACAAGTTTGGCTCGGAGGGCTCATGCTAGGAGAATTCGGAGTTTTTCAGAGGTGAATGAAGTTGGAATGATAAGTCCTCCAACAAAATTACCTCGAGTTGAGGAGCCGGTCATAACCTTTTCTGAAGAAGATGACAAGGGAATTTACCAGCCCCATGATGACCCTCTGGTAGTTTCCATGGTCGTTGCTAATTTCACTGTTCGACGAATACTGACAGACAATGGTAGCTCGGCTGACATATTATTTCTTAGGGCGTACGAGAAATTGAAAATTGGCCGAGAGAAGCTCTGACCCATGAAGTCACCACTGGTGGGATTTTCAGGCGACAAAGTATATCCACTGGGGGCAGTTACACTTCCAGTTACTGCAGGAGCCAATCCAAAGCAGGTCACTGTAATGGTGGACTTTGTAGTGGTGGACTGCCCATCATCATATAATATTATCCTGGGGAGAACAACATTGAATGCCATGAAAGCAATCACGTCCACTTACCATCTCCTGATGCGTTTCCCAACTGAATATGGTATGGGAGAGCTAAGAGGGGACCAAACAATAGCTCGCGAATGTTATGTCGCCTCTCTCAGAAAACAAAATCGCAAGAGGCATTTACGATTGAAGGGCTGGAAGGGAAAGATAGACCAGACTTTCATAGAGCGGAACCTACAGAAGAGCTAGAAGAGGTCATCCTTGGTGATGGTGAGCCCGAGAAAAAAGTGAGTATAGGGTCTTTACTCCCCCCAGGTATCAAAGATGAACTTACTCAATTCCTCAGGAAGAATCGAGACGTATTTACATGAAGACATGCCGGGTATAGACCCCACTATCATGGAGCACCGCTTAAATGTAAATCCTGACTTTAAACCTGTCAGACAAAAGAGGAGGACTTTCGTTCCAGAAAGGAATCAGGCTATATCAGAAGAGGTGAAAAAGCTCTTAAAAGTCGACTTTATTCACGAGGTGTACTACCCCGACTGGCTGGCAAATGTGGTCCTAATGAAGAAGGCAAATGGAAAATGGAGGCTATGTGTGGATTTCACCGACCTTAACAAAGCTTGCCCGAAGGACAGCTTTCCTTTCCCAAGAATCCATATGCTCATTGAGGGAACGGCTGGACACGAACTATTAAGTTTCATGGATGCATATTCTGGATACAACCAGATATCTATGTACACCTCAGATAGAGAAAAAACAGCCTTCATCACTGATAGAGGTTTGTACTGTTACAAAGTAATGCCGTTTGGGCTCAAGAACGCTGGTGTAACATACCAGAGGCTAGTGAATGCAATGTTTAAGCATCAAATTGGTAGAAACATGGAGGTATATGTTGATGACATGTTAATGAAAAGCTTAAAAGCTGAAGACCATTTGACTGACCTGCAGGAGACCTTCGAGGTACTTAGGAGTCATAAGATGAAACTCAACCCCAGCAAGTGTGCCTTTGGGGTTTCCTCAGGAAAGTTCTTGGGATATATGGTAAGCAGAAGAGGAATTGAGGCCAATCCAGAAAAGATCCGAGCAGTCATTGACATGAGATCGCCAAGATCAACCAAGGATCTACAACGACTAACAGGGAAGATTGCTGCATTGAGTAGGCTAATCTCTCGGTCAACTGACAGGTGTCTACCTTTCTTTCGTGTGCTAAGGAAGGCTTTTGAATGGACCCCAGAATGTGAGCAGGCATTCAAAGAACTAAAGCAATACCTTAGTTCTCCCCCACTACTGTCTCGAACCATACCGGGAGAGGAACTATACATATACCTTGCAGTTTCCACGACAGCTGTCAGTTCAGCTCTGATACGAGAAGAATAAGGGGTCCAAAGGCCAGTATACTTCGTGAGCAAAGCACTTAGGGGTGCGGAGGAAAGATATCCAAGGATGGAACAATTGGCCTTTGCTTTAATTGTGTCCGCCAGGAAACTGAGACCATACTTTCAAGCGCATACGATAGTGGTCCTAACAGATCAACCCCTTCGACAGGTCCTACATAAGCCAGAAAGCTCTGGTCGACTGACGAAGTGGTCAGTAGAGTTAGGGGAGTTCGACATTCAGTATAAGCCAAGAACAGCAGTAAAGGCTCAGGTGTTGGCTGATTTCTTAGCTGAGTTTACCCCTCCAGAAGAGGAGAAACAACCCCAATTTTTGACAGAACCAAGGTTAAGTGAGCAGATGGGCCCAGAAGTAGTCTGGGACTTGTTCGTGGATGGGTCATCTACTGCTCAGGCTAGCGGAGCCGGGTTTGTTCTTGTCTCCCCAGAGGGAGAAAATATATAGTACGCACTTCGGTTTGGTTTCAAAGCAACCAACAACGAAGCAGAGTACGAAGCCTTGATAGCAGGATTAAAAGTGGCAAATGCCCTAGGGGTTGAGCAATTAAAGGTGTACACCGACTTTCAGCTGGTCGCTGGACAAGTTCAAGCGGAATATAAGGCACGAGACGAGAAGATGAAGAGTTATCTACAAAAGGTGAAGGAATTAAAGAATCACTTCCAAAGATTCTCAATTCATCAAATACCACGAGAAGAGAATGGGAAAGCAGGCGCTTTAGCCCGGCTATCTACTGCATTAGAACCTGAGATCAATAAGAATATACCACTGGAATATTTGGATGAATCATCTATATCTCAGGGAGACAAATTGAAGTGCAACAAACGATATTGAGTGTGGAATGGGCAGATCCTATCATCAGATATATCAAGGATGGGGTGCTACCAACAGACCGAGCAGAAGCTCGAAAGGTCAAGATGCGGGCAGCTAGGTATACGCTTATCAAAGGGGTGCTCTACAAGAGAAGCTTCTCCATGCCGTATTTACGATGCGTTTCTAGCGAGGAAGCTGACTACATTTTAAGGGAGATCCACCTAGGAGTTTGTGGAAACCATGCTGGGGGTAGGTCACTTGCTAACAAGGCCATCCGACTAGGATACTATTGGCCCACCATGCAGAAAGATGCACTTGACTTCGTTAAAAAGTGCGACAAGTGTCAGCGATTTGCCAACATCCCGAGACAACCATCAGAGGAGATGACTCCCATGTCAAGACCACACCTCTTTCCCCCTTAAAAGAATGAAGGGTCAGCTTCATCTTCTTCCCTCGTAAAAAGATGAGGGGTTAACTACTTCCCTTGTTAAAGGGTGAGCTGAGTGAAGCTCATATTAATCTACTTCCCCTGTTAAAGGGTGATCTGGGTAAAACTTGTATTAATCTACTTCCCTTGTTAAAGGGTGAGATGAGTGAAGCTCATAGTAATCTACTTCCCTCGTAAAAAGATGAGGGGTTAACTGCTTCCCTTGTTAAAGGGTGAGCTGAGTGAAACTCATATTAATCTACTTCCCCTGTTAAAGGGTGACCTGGGTGAAATTCGTATTAATCTACTTCCCTTGTTAAAGGGTGAGATGAGTAAAGCTCATAGTAATCTACTTCCCTCGTAAAAAGATAAGGGGTTAACTACTCCCTTGTTAAAGGGTGACCTGGGTGAAACTCGTATTAATCTACTTCCCCTGTTAAATGGTGACTTGGGTGAAGCTCGTATTAATCTACTTCCCTTGTTAAAGGGTGAGATGAGTGAAGCTCATAGTAATCTACTTCCCTCGTTAAAAGGTGAGCTAGGTGAAGCTCATAGTAATCTACTTCCCCGATGAGTGAAGCTCATAGTAATCTACTTCCCTCGTTAAAAGGTGAGCTGGGTGAAGCTCATAGTAATCTACTTCCCTCGTTAAAAGGTGAGCTGGGTGAAGCTCATAGTAATCTACTTCCCCTGTTAAAGGGTGAGCTGAGTGAAGTTCGTATTCATCTACTTACCTTATTACGAGTTACGTGAAACTCGTCTTAATCTACTTTCCTTATTAAAGAGACGAGCAGACTAAAGATGTCAATAAAATCAAGTATAAAATAACGGTAGCATGCCAGCAGGGCAGCTTACCAAATAATGGGAGCATGGCAGCAGGGCAGCTTGCCAAATAAAGGCAGCATGCCAACAAGACAGCTTACCAAATAAAGGCAGCATGCCAGCTTGCCAAATAAAGGCAGCATGTCAGCAGGGCAGCTTGCCAAATAACGGCAGCATGCTGGCAGGGCAGCTTGCCAAATAACGGCAGCATGCTAGCATAACAGCTTGCCAAATAAAGGCAGCATGCCAGCAGTGCAGCTTGCCAAATAAAAGCAGCATGCCTGCCAAATAAAGGCAGCAGGGCAGCTTGCCAAATAACGATAGCATGCCAGCATGACAGCTTCCTAAATAACGGCAGCATGCTGGCAGGGCAGCTTGCCAAATAACGGCAGCAGGACAGCTTGCCAAGGCAGCATGGCATGGCAGCTTGCCACATAACGGTAGACTACCAGCATGGCAGCTTGCCATATATACGAGCTGCCAATGTGGCACTACGACAAATATACAAGCTTGCCACATATACGAGCTGTCAATGTGATACTATGACCCCCGACTGTATTCGCGAAATGACAATATAAGTCAGGCTAATGGACAAGGCTCTGTAATTCTAACTATATATTATTGTGTGATATTTTGGAATTAACGTTACGGTAGTTTGACAAGTAATCCTCCGAAACGGGGGGCAACTGATGATTATAATTTAATTACCCGTGGATAGGGGAAGATCGTTAAAGTAACGCGCTATCTCATAAGATTGAGATAGGCTCTACAGACTAAGATAAGGACTACGACTAAGATAAGGGTTACAGATTACGATAAGAATTGCAGAATACGATAAGGATTAGGCCAATAGATTATGATAAGGATTAAGGACGACGTGGACGCTACGTAACATCCTGACCCAAGTCCTATAAATAGGGAGGGCTAATCGACGTTTGGAGGTAGGCAAAAAACCCTAACTCAATATCTCGATTTCTCCAGAGAGATTATCATTCACACTGACTTGTTCGTCGGAGCCTACTCCACCGGTAACACACCAGTGTTTGTAAGATCACTTTTTTTTCTCTTTATTCAGGAAGTCAGATCAAATTCGGGTTGCGCAGAATCCATCTTCAACAACAAATATATCAAGTGTGAATTCAAATTACTTCTATTGTCTAAAATTGTAATTTAAATCAGACTCTTATCATATAAATACATATGGAGAGAGCGTAAGATGAATATTTTGTTAAGCAAAATGTTACTTTTATTTTTATTCTCTCATTTGAAATTACCGTGGTGAGAAAGAAAAAAACATATTTTATTAAATAAAGTGGAAAGATATTGGTTTTATCTTTATTGGGTGTATTAATTACAATAATATTTAAAGGTACGATAATAGATAATATAATGATAATAATAATATCATTCTCCTTGCTAAAGATATCTATTTCACCCTCCATCCATCTAATCCTACTAAATGGGATATAATGGAACATGCATCTCAAGGAAAATAAGGTGTCATTTCATCATTGGGTTAGGTTTAGACTTTAAAGTAATGGAAAGTGAGAGTTTGAAATATTTTATTTACTTGTTAACAAATTAACATAATAACATCATTTTTAAGGTAGGCTTGTCAATTAACTAAATTTGTATTCGAATAAGACTTGAACTCGACCTGATAACTTCAATATATGAAAAAATATTTCAACTCATTAAACATAAAATTCAATAATTCATTAGCGAAACAAATAAAATATAAATTATAATTTTATATATTATTTAAAAAAATTATTGTTATTTGTTCATCTTCCCTATCCTCTTTAACAAAGAGTCAAATTTTAATTTTCATTCTCTTTTTTTTCATATTTTATTTAACTTATATTTTCTTTCCTTTTCTTTTTCCTCATAAATGTTCGCAAACACCTTTTGACATTGAAATTTATTTATTTATTTTTTAACCTTAGCCAGATTGGGTTATCAAATCAATAAAAAACCAAATATGAATTCATTAATAAATATTATGTCGAATAATAAAGTAAAAAATAATTCTTATGGATCGGATCAAGTTTGATCCTGCCCGACCCGATCCAAATTTGGACACATTTTTAATATTGTATAGTCTGTACATTCTTAACTCTGTCCTCGTTCGTCTTCTCATCTCTTACCACACCTTCTCCCCTTCACGGAAAGCAAACAAGAAATAGCATAAAATAAAAGAAATTATTTAATATGTGAGACACATACAGATACAGTGTATCTCTTGGCCATCTTTCAATTGGTCCAACTACTTGTTCGGATTGTGGCATTTACTCTTCAAATAATGGTTATATTTTAAGGTTCTCGATCCAACTCTTTTTTCGTCTTTTTTTTCTTCTTTTTTTTTTTTAAATCTATTAAATTATTATAGACTTACCCGACACGTGATCTGGGCCATGCTAACATTGCATAGATCAATTTAAATAAAGTTTATACATACTCTAATATTTGTCTTTCCTCCGATGTCATTTTTAAATAACGAAAAATTAACTCATCAATTTTGAAGTATAAGGATGATTTGCAAACTGTCATATAGACTTAATTTTTTGAGCTTCTTTAAAATAAAAAATTTACATTAGCCTCATAATGGTCGAGGGCATAGGCGGATCAGACGATTGCTTAGAGTTTCCAATTTTAAAAAATAAAAATAAATCATGGATCAAAAAAAAAAAGAATTAATATTTATTTGTAGGGTCTCCTATTTAAAAGTTCGTCAAAAGTCTCTCAAAATTTTAAAAATCTCCAAACCAATTCTAACATTTTATTTACTAATTCTTATATGTACAACCATTCGCAAAATTAAAAATTTATGTTTGTCACCGAGTTACCCTTTTTTTTTTTTTTTTTTGGGCGTGCACTGAGTTACCTGTACAGTTTGTAAAATTCGAGAATTTATGACTAGTCTTATAAAAACCCCACATCCACTAGGCCGTCTGAGATTTTTTTTTTAATTATTACCGAGGGTGGTCATACTTTATTCAAGAATGAGATTGTTTCTTCTGATATATATATATATATATTTGGTGATACAGCCAAAATGTTTTTTTTTTTTTAAACGTACAGCCAAAATGATGACCTCTCTAACTTTTATTGTCATCACTTTTTAGGGCAAGTTAAAAAAAAAGTTGGGCCCCATTCAAAAAAAATATATATAGGGCCCAGATAGGCGTTAAAAAATTGCAATCTTTTTTTTTTTTTTTTTTTGGAAGGTAAGTTAGCAGTATATATTAAAAAATTTAAAATTGCAATCTTGTCATGATTTATTTGACCGCTCTAAAGATGGTTGGACTTGGGAGCTCTTGTAGTACTAGCACCCAAAGCATGTAGCACATCGTTTTCAACAAAGGTACTTTTTAATCATACCATCAAATTTTATTTTATGCAAAGCTTTTACCAACTATTTTAACTTACAAAATTGTTGAGTTGGACACAACAGTGGGCTCATATAACTAGGTTGGACTCTATTTTATATGACTGATTACGATCTCAACAATCCATACAACATATCATAGTGTTGCAATTTACTAGCACCGGTAAATTAAGAGTAATGATATTTGTATTGATTTGTTATATTAAATTGGTGTATCGAGTATTTTTGATTAATTGTTTATACATAGTACATGTAAATGGAAGGTCCTACTTATTTATTTATGCATAAATTAATTCATTAAAAAAAAAATAGGTGTGACAATTTATTACAACAAATCGGATAAATAAAGAAATGAAACCCTCTACTTACATATACTATGCATAAATAGCCAATCAAAAACATTGGGTGTAACAAACCAATACAAGTATCATTACTCTTAAATTAATAATTTAATATTTTTATATAATTATTGTATTATTAATTTAAAATTATTGTATTGTCGATTTAATAAAAAAAATATAACACGAGATTCTGATTTACGAATCACAAAGCCGAAATGGGTCAATGACATTTAAAAAAGCAGGATCCCAAAAATTTGTTTTTTTATTTTTTTATTTTTATTTTTTATACATATACATACAAACAATATATTAAATTGAGATATCAACGCATTAAATTGAGGATTCTATACCCAACAGGGAGGGATATTTTTTTTTATTTTTTTTTAAAAAAAAAGACTATTTTAAAGGGGATTCTATTGTCCTCCTTTAAAAAAAAGAACTATT